CTTTTTTGTGAGCGGGTTGGGGCGGAATAACTACGGCACTCTGGGCTGGAGGAGAGATAAGATGGTGCGTCAGCGGAGGTCCAGGTGACTGGATCAACGGTCGTTGATGAGTAATTATGACAGGAGCACGGTAAGTCGTGGACTCAGGCCATCGCACTGGGCGTTTAAGTCAAGGTGGCGGTTGATACTGCCCACACTAGAATAAGAAGTCTCGAGAAATTATCGCGCTCGTTTCGTGTTGGCCATGGCGACAACCTCAGTGTCCTTTCAATTGAATTTATGGTCGAATTCGAGTGCGTGTGCGAAGACGAGTGACAGGGGATCCCAGAGACGGACACCTAATTTATGCTCCCTGATACGGCTGCCTTGCAGTCGACAAGTGTGACCAACATACACACAAGAACTATTTGCGCCTGGTATGCGATAAACCACATTTTATTGTTGTTCCTTTGGGATAGGAACCTTTATACGTGATAGTGCAGCGCGCAATGCGGATGCTGGTTTGTGTGCGAAAATGAATTCCAAAAGTCCAATTTCTGTGAGAATTGCCTTGGATGGCTAGCAGTCACGATTAGGTGAGAGCCACCCGATTATAGTGTGTGCATTTACCTGCCTGACAAAAGCCGGGGACGAGGTCACGCGTTTCGCGATAGCATACGAGGAGAAAGGCAAGCTTGAAGCAACCTGCACACTCGATAAGACAGCATGAAACAGCAGGTGTTTTAACGTGTCTGAACCTTCACGCATTAGTTTGCAGCTGCCTGGAATTTCCGTAGAGGCATTCTGACCTACCGAGCAGGATTTTAAATATATACAGTATGGCGAGTGCTGTATGCAAAAGTCATGATGAAATTTGACTTGGTTGTTTAGCATATATTTGGTCAAGTTATTTTGATCCACTGAATTAAGTTAATCCAGAGACAGCCTTCTAGTTAAGAATACTGCCATTTTAGTTAAGTTTATTAAGGGTAATGCGCATTAATTTTGGCTAAATCGGGAGGAGCCTAATATCGAAGAAATATTAAGTACTATTAAGTACGACAGAACCAACCTTTTAGTAATATGCGTTATGCAACGAGAGGACTCCAAAATAAGTAAGAAACTTCAAAAATATATCCCTTCCATAACCGGAAAATTTAGTCCGAAGTTGCTCAAATTCAAGTAAAGCTAATTTTAAGGAATGGAATTCATTTTCGGAAGCAATGAACAACTTCAGTTTTAAGAACACTTTTCCGCTAAACTGTGAAGTTTTCTTCCAGAAAATGCGGTAACAAAAACGGTTTGGTCGCATTTTGTTTTAACACGTCAAGTATTAGCGATGTAACCAAAACTGTCCACATATTATCGTGAAGGCAAAGGTAAATGCAGATTTTATTCAATCTAAATCATTTAGAAATACACTTTTTGTACACTATAATCTTCAATTATGTGTAATTTATAAACGAAATGACAGAAGACTAATAATAAATGCGATAGCCGAGTAGAAATTCGGCGACTCATTTTTACATTCGCAAGCTTAGAACAGGGCCTGGAAGTAAGCCCCTTTGGCAGAATATATTCCAATAAATATAGGAAAGAGAGTTCTTCCATCTTTATCCAAATTGTATCACTCATCTTAAGGCAAATTAAAAAACTTGCCTAAAATCTCCACTTTCATTTTGAAAGTATCTTTGAAAAAGGTAACATGCACAGTTATTCGTTAGCTGTATATCGTATTAAAGTGCTCTTTTAGGAGGTAATAGATTATAGATTGTGTTTTTTTGTTATTTCAGGAATAGAATATTCGACTTTTGATGCGGGCGTTCTTTTTGCTCGACACTGTTTTTTGCTGTTTCAATTCATTTCTAAATGTGGCTCACATGGCCAGCTTCATAAGAACTAATAACCAAAAACCCATTTTATAGTAAATACTTAAAATGTTTATCACATTTTAAAGGTTGGGACATAAAAGTCGAGCATAATCTCTATTAATGGACGAAAGCTTAACAACACTGAAAACTCTCGAAAATGTGTCGGCACTTAAAGGTCCGTCTGTAAGTACTTGTAATTAAATAACGGCAATACGTTCAAAGTATGTTGTTTAAGGAAAAGTTATTTTAATATAAAGAGAGCAATATGGTTAACCCTTAAACTGACTATAATCATTACATGTTTCGTCTCCGGAACTTGAAGATTATTAAGAAAATTTAATTTTTCTTACCAATGAGTACTTTTTACATTTTTCAGTAACAAATTTTCCTAAGTTTGTTCATCATTTTTTTCTAAGTTTTCGTAAATGTCGTTATGCCAGTATGCGAGGACAGATCAATTTTTAACAAACTTAAGCATTTTGCATGCAGCAATCGCCACACTGTATAGAATTAGACGCAACCATACAAGGCACATTGCTTAAGTTCTCTCTGATGATGTATCCGCGACGAATGTCGGAACGTCAGGCAAATAAAAGTATTGTCCCAGCGATCGAGTCGTCTTCTTCTCAAAGTTCTTTCTGTCTCATTTGAGGATATACTTTAATAATCTGCTTTAACTCTTAACTAAAGGATATCCACTGTTGTCGTAAGTTTCCGCGCGCGCCTGTAAGGATCTCAACGAAGAATTTGACGGTAGTATAAGCCCTACAGGTGGTTCAGGTACTGCGTCAAGTGCGAACTGGAAGATTTTGCGCAAATACAACGTTGCAAAAAGCCGCGGGGTGGGGCAAAATGCTGCAGCCACTTACGTATTGTATCCGAACATAGGGCATAATGGGCTGCACCTCAGACTTCTGTACAGCGGCGTCAAACAGTAACTGGTAGGCTCTAAAAGCAACAACAGTTCACAAATCAGTTTCTTCCCAAAACGCTCAAAAATCATTTTGCACAACCCCTTGTCTCGTGTTGGGCGAAGACACTTTGGGTTGGATGTGGACTAATATGGAGGATAGGGGAAACAGTCTAGTACAGGGCTCACTACCGAAAGCGAACCCATAGAATTCTGCAGTGGGTGACCGACGATAATTTTATTTTAATTTTAGCTCCAATTAATTGATTTAATCTTATTTAATTGATTATATCGTACCTCTTATTTTAATTTTTTTAGAGTTATCGCAGGTTTCGGCGTTGCTATACGTTTGCTTTTTTAAATAATTATATCTACTATTTCCTGTCTTTGCTTCATCTTTTTAGTTTTTCTTTGTTCTGCGCCCCGTACTGCTTCATCTTTATAAACTATATTAACTCCCTTTCCGTATTACATAATTCTGGGGGCTTGGTTTCCGTAGTGAGCCCTTTTCTACACTGTTACCAAAGTAGGCTTCTTTTCTAGTTACAGGCATCAAAAAGAAACAGGCAGCGATGCTTACTCGTTGACGGTTGAAGCGGTGAAGGAGATAATTGCATCCGGAATCTGTTTCGGGTATTCGCAGGGCTTGACAGTAGTACCCGCGACTACTTCCAAATCCGCATTTATCTTCTAAAAGTAAAGTAATAAAGTGAAGTAAAAGCCGCTCCTGAATGGCTGTCGACATTGAAGTGTCACCATCTAAAGCGCAGCCGTTTATTTGGTAAGATGACTATTATATATAATATATATTCACTCAGAAATGTGCGAACACCGCTCGAATAGACTTCCGAACTAAACAAAGTTCATTTGGTGGTCAGAGGTCCCCAAAGGGTGCCCGCCTGCCAGGCCAGTGCCGGCCAAGTCATAATAGCAGAGAGGGGGATGTCAGCGTTTGGGGGTAACTT